ACACACACACACACACACACACACACACACACACACACACACACACACACACACACACACACACACACACACACACACACACACACACACACACACACACACACACACACACACACACACACACACACACACACACACACACACACACACACACACACACACACACACACACACACACACACACACACACACACACACACACACACACACACACACACACACACACACACACACACACACACACACACACACACACACACACACACACACACACACACACACACACACACACACACACACACACACACACACACACACACACACACACACACACACACACACACACACACACACACACACACACACACACACACACACACACACACACACACACACACACACACACACACACACACACACACACACACACACACACACACACACACACACACACACACACACACACACACACACACACACACACACACACACACACACACACACACACACACACACACACACACACACACACACACACACACACACACACACACACACACACACACACACACACACACACTATACTATATACATGTATGTGTGTGTGTTCCATGCCACACACACACACACACATATTTTATATATATATATATATATTTATTTATTTATATATAGCATATAAACATGATATAGAATGTTTTTTCGAGAGATAATGGTTTTAGGTATTCGATATAGGGAAAAATAGCAAACCTCCAATCACTGGAATAGAATTTCATAAACTACCTAATTCTGATAAGTATATGATTATCGTAACCACTCTTATGCGCATTTATCAATACATCGGTGCCATTGCGAATACCGAGGAGAAACCTCTTCTGCAACAAGTGTTTTACAGATATCTAAACGCGCAAGGTAAACGAAAGTTAAATAGTATATAATTACAAAGAAAGTGTTTTCTTTCTTTCTTTCCTTAAATTCTAAAAAAGTTTATAAGGATTTTGTGATGAAGATTCAAGAAAATGTTATAATAATTAAATATTAGTAAAATTAACCACGATTTTATTGTTTTATTTTTTTGTTATATTTGTTTAAGCAAAAAGTAACTATGATTGTTACAGAGAGGTTTAGTGAAGTAATAAGTTCTCTGCCATATTCAAAGATGCAGTTTTATTATCCTTCCTTGGGTGCTCTACCAAAATCATTTGGATGGTTGACAGAGACTGGTATTCTATATGCCCAGGTACAACTATATTATCATGTCATTTTATGTATTCTAAACATTTAATAAGAATTAAAATACACAAAGAATGCGAAATTATATATAGAATGTTTGATACAATTTGCACGGTTGTTTTACTGAAAGGAGAGCTCATTAAATTGCATAAGAAAGTTTTGTACTATTCTGCAAGTAATCTCATGAATTTTTGAAATATTAATTATTGAAAATTAGAAAAACAGCAAATGAGCGCGCATGATGCGGTGGGATAAGCTAGTTTAGACTCCTCCAAAACAAAGTCTCATCTCTAAATAAAGACATCATAAGCCTAAAGAGCTCGTCTCATCGCATCATGTGCGCTTATTTAGTCTCTCTCTAATTTTCTATAATTAATATCTAAAGACACTCATGAGGTTGCTAACAAAATAGTATAGGACCTTTTCGTTCAGTTTATTAAATTCTACTTATATATGATAATGTACGAATCACGTCAGACACTTTGTGTATGTTCTTTTAGGTGGATGCAAAACCTGAGGGAAACAATGTGCTGATCAATCAGCAAATGCTGACGTGCCCGGAAACAAGTCTCATGGGCAGCAATGTGTCGCAAACTACTTCGACGCCATTATCTTTCGTACTGACAGAATTTCATACTTTGTTGTTGTACCCAGATCATGTGAAAGGCATATCGCTGCTAAATCAAGAATTAATATTTGAAGACGTTTACAACGACGTATGTGATCAATGCGATTGTAACTTATAATTGTGTTAAACAATTAGCTGCATTGAACTTTATTGTGAGATAAAAATATTTATCGTATACATATGATTTAACATTTAGGCAGTCGGCAAATTAATCGGTATCACTAAAGACCCTGCAACGAGGTCAATTTGGGCTTACAGCGAACGAGCTGTTTTCAAATATAGAGTCACGAAGGAAGATAGAAATGTTTGGCAGGTAAAGAGAAAGAGAGTAGAAATGTATTTTGAATATGATAGATCGATAGGTACATCTCAAGGATTATTTCAGGTATACGTAGACAAGGGTGAGTTTGAGCTTGCTAAACAATATTGTAAGGACAATCCCGCGCATATCGATCAAGTGCTCGTGAAACAAGCGGAAATGCTCTTCAAGAATAAAGAGTGAGTTTTACAAAGTACTTTGCTACTGTAAACTTTTAGTTTAGTCTCATCTCCTTTATCATATTTTGGAAATAAATTTGCAGATACGAGAAGAGTGCATTGATTTATGCGGATACGCACTCTTCTTTTGAGGAGATATCTTTGAAGTTCTTACAAGAGTGGCAAATTGAAGCTTTGAAAACGTTTTTGCGCAAGGTATTCTTTTAGTAATGAGTAAGAAATATCTAACAGCTTTATTCCTTATAATAAATATAATTACAACTCAATGATTTATTCTCGATTAAATTAAAATTAATTACGTTGTTCCTGACATTACTTTGCATTTATTTTTATACTTGTGAAAATATTTTATATTTTGTACTTTTCATGTTACATATGTCGCTTGTTTTCTTTTCGTCTATAAAGATTTTAAATATGATTAATTTAATGATTAAGTTAGAAATTTACTTTTAGAAACTCGATGGCTTTAAGATGCAAGATAAGACGCAGATAACGATGATCGTTATTTGGGTGACGGAATTGTTCATGAATCAAATGGGTGCTTTGCGCAGCAGTAATACATCCTATCTTCACGATCCGCACTATATAGAACTGCAAAACCAGTTTGATCAATTTCTCGCTATTCCTAAAGTTGAGGTATTTCACAAAAACGACCAAGTATTTTTACTGAATTTCATGTTTCTATATCTGATAAGACATAGAAATGAATAAATTTATTATTTTAAGAATTAATTTAAAACTTTGGTTGTGCAGGAGTGCATTAGAAAAAATCGCAACACGATATATGATTTAATGGCAAGCCATGGTGATAAAGAAAATTTAATAAACTTGACCGTGATGCATCGCAACTATGAGGAAGTGATTCGTCAGAACTTGTATAAGAGTGATTACGTAGGAGCACTTGGAGTGCTTAAAAATCAGAACAATAAGGATCTCTTCTATCAGTTCGCTGGAATCCTGTTGCAGGAATTACCACGACCCACAGTGGCTGCCTTGATTTCACAAGGCTCACTACTGAAGCCAGTCAAGTTGCTACCAGCCTTGGTCTCGTGCAATAGCGATGAGAAACACGTAAACAACAAATTATTATATTTATTTTTCGTTTCGAATATTATTCGTATTAACATTAATATTAATTTTGATGATATAGCAGTATAGTAATACATTGTCATGTTTTCGACAGGCGAAAGAAATTATAAAATATTTGGAATTTTGCGTGTATAAGCAAGGATCTCAAGAGCAAGCGATTCATAACTTCTTGCTGTCTTTATACGCGCGTCATAAACCGGATGAAGTAATGCGTTACATAAGCTCTCAAGGTACTATTTAAAGTCTTATGGGAAATTAATCTTTTAAGGATGGGAATTGATTAAAACGAGCTAATTTGTATCAAGAAAAATATTAATGCAAGATAGAATATTAGCGCAAGAAGATTATATTGTTTGTTTTTTAGTATAAGATGATCATATATTCTACGAAATATTGTGTGTGTGTGTGTGTGTGTGTGTGTGTGTGTGTGCGCGCGCGCGCGCGTGTGTGTGTAATGATACATACACACATTTGTATATATGTAATTTCCGAAACTCATAAAAATGCTTTATTGGCAATTGGCGACTTCCTGCTAGGCGCGCTACTTAGATTGCTCATTTACGACATCCGTCCTTAAAAACTTATTCTCGTCCTTAAAAAGTAAATTTGCTAGAATTTCGTATGATTTACTTCAACCGCATAAGAGTGGAATTCAATTGTACATTTGTCTAATTTGATTTACTACAAATTATTTTTAAAATATCTTTTTATGAGGCAATTCATCGATATTATATTTTCAGGTCAAGATATCAGTATGGTGCATTACGACGTGCATTATGCATTAAGATTGTGTCAGGAAGTTAGATTGACAGAAGCCTGTGTGCAATTATCAGCCTTGCTCGGTTTGTGGACTACTGCTGTAGATCTCGCACTTACGATCAGCGTGGATCTTGCTAAGCAAATCGCCGCTATGCCATCTGATCATGACGACGAGTTGAGAAAGAAATTATGGTTGAAGATAGGTAAACAACAAACTGTTTTTGATTAAGAATTAATTTAATTTAGATAAGAAATCCGATCCTCATAAATTTACGAGTATATATACCAACATAAAATATAGTTTTATAATTTGCACTGTTTTTCTGTATAATATTGTATAAAATTGCAAATGTTTTTACAGAGCAAAAGTATAAATGTCAATACGCGGAGAAAGAAAGAGGAGAGAGGGAGGGAAAGAGAGGGGTAGAGAAGGAGAAGTAATAACAGACTATAAATATTGTAAAAAGTTTTTAAAAACTTTATTTACACATATTTTTTGTTTTTGATACAATATTTGGTGTCTTTCCATTATTAGTATTACTTTTACTTTGTAAAAGCATTTGCAGTTCTGTGCAAACCAATAGAAAAACAGTGCAAATTACGCAACTACATTATGTCAGTATTCAGCATCCCTCTAATATTCAAATTTAAAATTTAATTATAATTCGTCATAAGTAATTTTTAATCGCGTTATTGCTACTTTCCAGCGGAGCACGTGGTACGAGAAAAGGACGATATACAACAAGCTATGGAATTTTTGCAGCATTGTGATCTCGTGAGGATAGAAGATATCTTGCCGTTTTTCTCCGATTTTGTCACAATCGATCACTTCAAGGAAGCTATTTGCAATTCTCTGCAGGTAAGGATAAACATTCTTTTTCAGTTTAAAATCATATGATTAGATTCCGAATCAAATCCTACTGATTTGAACTTTGAGTTCGGAACACTTCAGAGCTAAACGATTGCCGAAGACCGGATACTTCGGATTGTTGTGAATCATTCAGTGAAAGAAATAACTTTTTAAAAAGTTGAAAGCAAGTGAAACCTTATTATGCTAAAATATTTAAACGACATGAATATTAGGGCTATCATCGAAACAATTAATAATTGTTTATGTCAAAAACGGGTCGAAGAAATTCGTCAGACGTATATATGTTCTATATATAATCCACATCGATGGCATTTATCGGATGCATATAGATATCTATAGTACTCAAGTTAAGAACACTGTGTATATCCTATATTTTGATTTAGTTCAATACACACAGTTTAATTTAGTTCAATACACGACGCGCACACACACACATATACATTCACACATACATAAATATACGTACATAGTCACAGCCACGCACACATACATATATCTATACGAACATCGTTTCTATAAACTAAATAGAAAATTAATAAAAATTTAATCTGTAATAATAAGGATTTCCTTATAAACTTTCTTTTTGTTATCTTAACGCGATAGGAGTATAATCAGCATATACAAGATCTCAAAGAAGAGATGCAGGAAGCCACAAAGGCAGCGGAATTAATCAGAAAGGATATTCAAGCTTTTAGATCTAGGTACTGTTGGAAAACTCTTTGGAAATAATTTATCATTTTCTATAATTTTTTTGTACATAAAATTTCTAACTGAATTGTTATTACAACGTTATCGTATATAATATTACATTGAAAGTTTTGTTTCCGATCTAATTGTAGACATGTTTTTTTCAGATGCACCTTCGTGCACGCAAGAGACGCATGCAATACGTGCGAAGTGCAATTACTATTGCGACCGTTTTATGTGTTTCCGTGCGGCCACAAATTTCATAGCGATTGTTTAGTGGCGGCACTGACGCCGATGCTGTCCATGGATCAGAGAACAAAATTGGCTGATCTGCAACGACAGCTTACAGCCATCTCGAATCGGCCTGAGGATACTACGTCGGTGGCTTCCGTGTCTTTATCCACGAGAGACCAAATCAAGGCTGATATCGATGAACTGATCGCGTCGGAATGCCTCTACTGCGGAGAGCTTATGATAGAGTATGTTTTTGACTGGCATCGAATAATTCCATTCCTAAGCAGTAATAATAGATGGACCGGGTTATCTCGCATACGTACAGAATACTTTTTCAATGAAGACTTCATTCGCTTAGTTTTCGCCGAGCGTTTACGTTCATACGCGTATTAAATCAAAACTTTCTATTAAATAATTTTAATATTGACATGTCAACGACGATGTATTCAATTGATATAATGATATAATTGATATAATGCATCTTCTTGATGGATATTTAACTATAACGTTATGTAATATATATATATATATATATATATATATATATATATATATATATATA